TGAATAAACTAAACTTGGACTAGTGTTTCCCAATAAGGCGAGCTTTGCACAGGAATAGAAGAAAAGAAAACAAAACTAAGCTTATAAAATTCTACACGTCTGTAAGTAAACAAGACAAAGAATACTACAGAGAGGGAAAGCTTAAACTGCCTCAATCAGAACCGCCATCGACGACAAACTACGTTAGTGAGTTCACAAAAGCCGTAAAAAAGCCCTCAACCTCTTCTCATGTGAACTAGTATTTAAGACTTTTGAAGACTCCTTAATAGTTACTGTTGACTTCAGCTGGGAGAGATTTGAAGTGATAATTTGACATGTTTGAAAATTCTGTAAAAATGTATGCATATACGTTTCTCTTTGTTGATGCTACAGTGCTAAGATCACGTACTTGGGTTATTTTCTTTTCACCTTTGGTGAATTGAAACTTGGAACATTTAAGGGTCTTCAAGACTAGTTGTTTCTAATTGCCAACTTTTTCTCCCGTTTTACACAGGCAATTGCGCAAGAATAACACTTACTTTAGTCATGTCTGTTTCAACTGAAGTTGTTATAACAACAGTCAATTGCGTATTTATCATCACCTGCATTGTTGGCAACTGCTTCCTTTGTGCTGTTGTGTTGAAAAATCAGGAAATGAGGTAAAAAGAAGTAGTGCTTGTTAATCTAAACCTAACTCGCAATGATATAGGGGCGCAATGATGTCGTACACCGCTGCATACTCTATCGTTGTGCACAATACCCAGGCGAAGCATGGGCCATAAATCGTAGGAGAACAACGAGGTTTTGTCTTCACAGTATCGACCGACTCAACCGAAGCGGATGTCACAGGGAACGGGGAACGGGGAGCGGGGAAAGAGAATGGGAAACGGGAAAATGAGAAATGGGAACAGTGACTTCATTTCCAATTCGCTGCTTTGTTCCTATTTTTTCAATTTCCCGTTCTCCGTGCTTGTTCTTCGACCCCAAGTTCCTCGTTTTAGTAACATCCCAAACAAAGGTTAATACAATGTTATCTCTGGGCTTTCTTTCTTTGGAACAAAAAATATGCCGGTGTTTGACAAAGGTCTTTACAGAGGCTTTGTAGAGAAGCACAAGTGAAGGAAGAGGATAGATCTTGCATTTAAACTTTGGTCCGTGAAGTAAGTCACGAACCTAACATTGACCAACCACAGAAAGAGAAACTGCCTCAGCCATATAATAAAATAACATTGCATTGTGTGCTTATTTACTTAGATAATTTAGACTCATTATCCATATATAGTGTCGAATTATCCGTCTCCCTTCGAACCAATCATGTAACGAAATTGTGCTTCGGCCACCGTTTTCCACAGGACACCCGTCAACTATCTACTTGTGAACCTGGCAGCAGCTGATATTTGTTACGCCACATTCATTATACCGACGATTATCTTAAGCCATAATGTTGGCCATCCAGAAGGCGTTACTGGAACAGTTTTGTGTACGATTATTACCGGAGGGAACTTAGCGTGGATTGGCGGACATGCCTCAATGGCTACCTTGCTCGTTATTGCCGTTGAACGATACTTGGCCGTGATACATCCCCATGGGAATAAAGGAAAACTCACGTTTCGGAGATTGAAGGTTTGTTAGTTTGCTGTCAGTCGACTAGTGTTTAATTTAATCGAAGTATTAGAGCCGGTAAGCATTGTTTTCAATACCTCCTCCCGTATACTAGCTCCAGGTATGCCATTTGATTGGTCAATTGTGACAGTTCACTTCAACGCTTACGTCAGTCATTCAACTTGGCGCGCACAGGCAAACTCGACCCCAGGGCGCTTTTCCCTGGCTTTGGAGCCAGGGAAAAGCGCCCTCAGGACGAGGTTGGCGCGCAGGGTCTTACAAACATGTGAAGTATATGAAACCCTCCTACAACGCACCTTTTGACGTTTTGACATGAGACACGGTTTTTTAGGACATTGTGCGGAGTACCTTATTCTCCTTTATTTTCGCGGGACTTAAATTTCGCGAAAATTTTCTCGGCACATTTCGCGAGTCTTTAATTTCGCGATCGCGGAGAAAAATTGTGTTTGCAGGGGATTTAATTTCGCGAAATTGAC